CCTGTATTTAATTTAAAAGACATTCTGGAGTCTGGAAGAGCAGGTTTATTTTAGTTACTGCCATTTTGCTAGATGCAGAAAAGCTGGGAAAAAATATATAATAAATGTGTATTGGAAAAAGTGATTAGTTCATTTTTATAAAAAAAAAAATGAATACAACTTGCATAATAATAAAATGAATTCAACTTAACAGTTTTAAGTTGCAATGGGTTTACTTAATTTAATTTTGTACTGTCAACTTGTTTCTTTTAAGGCAGTTGGTTTACTCGCTTTAAGTAGCTAATCTCTTTTTACAGTGGAGTTGAAACTGTTGAAATTTGAAAAAAATGAGTTGATGTTACTTACAACTATAAAAATGAACAAATTGAGTTGACCTTACTTAAAACTAAAAGTTGAACATTGAAAAAACTGAGTTGAAGTTACTTGAAACTAGAAGTTGAAAACTTTATAACGATGAAGTGACATTACTTAACTATGATGAAATAAAAATGAGTTGACATTACTTAAAACTAAGTTAAAAATTTTTATAAATTGAGTTGATATTAGTTAAAACTTTAAGTTGAAACCTTAAAAAATTAGTTGACAATACTTGAAACTTGAAACGAAAATATTTAGCTGACATTACTTAAAACTGTTGAAAAGTTGTGATAATTACTTTATACTGTAAGTTGAAAAATGAAGAAATTAAGTGGATACTACTCTTTAAGTTTAAAATTAAAAAACAATGAGTTGACCTGAGGGCGTACTCTCACTAGACACGGTCGCCTTGAACCTTGCCGAAGATTTTGGAATTGATTTCCCTACAGCAAGGTGGTCGTTGGTTCAAACGCTAGCTGAGCCAGTCCACACTCTCTGTGCGGAGTTTGCATGTTCTCCCCGTGTTCACGTGGGTTTTCCCCGGGTACTCCGGTTTCCTCCCACACTCAAAAAACATGCAACAAAAGTTAAAGACACACTACTACGTACAAACTGGCGCAGTTAGCGGTCTATTCTGGGAAAGTTATTGAGAACTACCTGATCTCATATCCCTCCTATTGCTTACTGACCAGGCGGGAGCCTTGGGCTCATTTATCTCCGAGCTCAGGGTTCTCTCCCAGGAAAGCATGCCAAACCGGCTAAAATAGACAAGCGTTATCGAAGTATGAACTCTTGAAAAGCTTTGTTGAAATTTGAAATGAAAATTGAGTTGACCTTAAAACTACTAGTTGAAAATTGAAAGAAATTGAGTTGACATTACTTAAAAGTGCAGGTTAACGACATGTAAAGACTGACAAGACAAACTCAAATAAAATGCGTTTAAAATGCTCAAAAATGTAAATACTGTAATTGCCATAGTATTTTTTTTTGTGGCAGATTGGAGTGTTTTGTGTGTGTGTGTGCATGTGTGTGTGTCTCTTTGCGTGGGTGGTTGTGTTGTGTGCAGCGTGTGTCCGTTCGCATCTCTCATATTAACAGGAGTGTGTGTTGGTGACGTGGGCGGTGACTCTCCACAAGTGGGTTAGAAGCTAATCGGATGCTGACAAACTCTGGTCTCCCAGCGCTGTGTATGTGTGTGTGTATGTTTGTGCGTGTGGGTGTGTGTGTGCGTGGCTCTGAAGGAATTAGACAGCCAGCTTTTTATAGACCTTCCGTCCTGCTTTGTCTCTCTCTGTCTCTCTCTCTCTCCCTGGTAGTCAGGGCTTTCCCTGATTTAGTGCAGGGATTTAAAAAAAAAAGTAGCTGGTGAAAAGGAGGAGGAGTTTGAGAGAAGGAGGGAACGAGGGAGTGAGAGAGTGAGCTATCAACACCCAGCCGGCTTCTCAGTCGAAAGCGAAAGCAACAGAAAGAGAGAGTTTCTAGGCGAGGTCTGTCCGCAGTACTGTGGTCGGAGGTGGTTTAGCGGTGTGTGTGTGTGTGTGTGTGTGTGTTGAGACAGAGGACACACACTCTTTGGGGACATCCAGGTGTTCCCCAGCGGCCATTCAGGGAAATCCGACTTGTCCTGATAGACTTTCAGCAGAAGACTGAAGCTGATCAGCACTGCTCAGGTACTGCATATGTGGATCCTTTCTTCATGTTTTGAATGCTGTGTGATTGGCTGCTTTATCTGTGTTCTGTGATTGGCCAGTTTTACAATAGTGTTTATGGAAGTCTTTGCAGAATTGGGAAGATTGGTGTTTATTTGGTACTTTGTGTACTGAGCATGTTGGCTAGTTTAATGCGTTTATTGATTTATTTGTGTGTTTTGGATTGCTGCGTGATTGGTCAACTCTTCAAAACAGTTGGACAGTTTAGCAGTTTTATTTATTTATTTTAAGACATTTCTTGGGTTTCTGGTTGTTGTCCTTTTAAAACAAGTTATATGACTATGCCAGTTTAGTTGTTGTTTTAGTTTTTATTTATTTATTTATTTTTGATTTATTCATTTAATAATAATAATAATAATAATAATAATAATAATAATAATAATTATTATTATTATTATTATTATTATTATTATTATTTTGTTGTTTTTATTATTAATATTACTATTGTAGTTGTTTTTATTATTATTATTTATTAATATTGTTATTAGTATTATTATTATTGCTATTATTATTGTTGTTGTTGTTTTTATTATTGTTGTTTTTATTATTATTATTGTTTTTATCATTATTATTGTTATTAATATTGTTTTTATTATTATTGTTGTTTTATTATTGTTATTGTTTTTATTATTATTATTATTATTGTTGTTTTTATTAATATTGTTGTTTTTGTTGTTGTTGTTGTTGTTGTTATAGTTATTATTATTATTGTAATAATTATATTATTGTTGTTAGTAATATAGTTGTTGTTGTTGTTGTATAATGCAATTGTTTTGGTCAACTTTAATAGTTTATCTTTATATTTTTGTTAAATAAAGTATATGTTTGTTTTATTTAGTATATTTATTCTTAATAAATTAGTTTTATTTGTTGTTGATGTTTAAAATGTTGTCAGGTTTGTTTGTTTATTTGCCCAGCTGAACAGTTTGGTATGTTGTCTCAACTTTGCATTATTTATTTATTAATATAGCTTGATAGATTGTATACGTTTGGATTGTTACATTTCATTTCCATTATTTTTTTTATTGACGCATTAATTAACCTGATTGTCATTTATTTATTTTTATTTTTTGTTTTAGTACACTGAAAAAAATGATTTCTACAAAATTCATGAATTAATTAATTCTCTTTTCAGCTTAGTCCCTTTATTACTCGTTGCAAACAGTTTATATGCGTTGAATTTAATCAAACAGATTAAATTTAGTAATGTTCAACCTAATTTGTTTGGTTAAATTCAGCCCAAATAAATTGTTTACAACGACTTAACTTAAAAGATTTTGTAAATCTAAGGAATCACCTTCGAATCTTTTTTTCAGTGTAGTTCAACATGTTTGGTTCACTTCATGCGTGTCTTTTAAATGTTCTGTGGTGTCCATCATGTTGTTCTTGTGTCAGGATTAGCGTAGGTTAGCTTATTGTCGATTAGTACAGCAAGGTCATGAGTCTCTCCTGTCTGCTCTAGCGGTTAATAGTCTTATCAAGGCGGCCTACTTTAAAACTGGCCAGTGACAGAACAATGCTGTACATGCTCTTTTAGTTTTCAGTTTTTATCATCATTAAAGACTCTAAAAGTCTAACGTTCTGCTGGGACATGGGGGAAGTTTGGCCTCATCCACCTGAAGCCTGAATAACTCAACTCGGGGTCATTGGAAATACATGCTTTAGCCTACATATTATATAAATCAAACCACTAAAACATACTTGAACACATCTGACCGCAGTTTGTAGGTAAAATGAACACTCGGGCAGTATGACGGTACCAGCTTTTGTATCTTTTCACACTAATAATATTTACAGGAACATGTTATTGATGAGTAAAGGATTTTTTTTTGTAAAGTTCTTTCTACAACACCAAATAAAATACCACAAAACAACTTAAAACGGCCCATCTATGATTTGTAATGGATTATATTTGTGTCACCTATCTATCTCCATATGGACAACTTTTCTGGCATGAACACTTTGCTCAGTAGCTCACTTTGTACTTTGTGTTTTTTATAACAATGAGTATAAAAGCCATGTAAAATCAAGGTAAATATATGTGATCGCAGTGATTTTTTTTCTTCTTTTATGTTTGCCTATGAAAACACTATTGGTTGGGTGTAGGAAAGGGTTTAGCTCAGGGTTTCACTAGCTGATCTCTATGACAAGTTACCTCTTCTTGAAGGACGTTAACTGAAACGTGCAACAAACATATTTTAGATTCGCAAAACTGTAGACAGCGCCCTCTAGTGCAATTGTCATCTGAAACGTGCAACAAAATGTACCCTAAGTAACATATTTTAGATTTACTATAGTATACACAGCGCCCTCTAGTGGATTTGTAATCAGAAACGTGTAAGAAAACGTACGACAAGCTGTGTATTTCAGATTCGCAAAACTGTAGACAGCGCCCTCTAGTGGAATTGTCATCTGAAACGTGCAACAAAATGTACCCCGAGTAACATATTTCAGATTTGCAGAACTATAGACCGAGCTTTCTAGTGTATTTGTAATCCGAAACGTGCAAGAAAACATACCCTGAGTAATGTATTTCTGATTTGCTAAACTGTTGACAGAACCCTTTAGTGGATTTGTCATCTGAAATGTACAACAAAACGTATCCTAAGTAACATATTTCAAATTTACAATAATACACAAAGCGCCCTCTAGTGGATTTGTAATCAGAAACGTACAGGAAAACGTACCACAAGCAATGGATTTCAAATTCGCAAAACTGTAGACAGCGCCCTCTAGTGGATTTGTCATCTGAAATGTACAACAAAACGTATCCTAAGTAACATATTTCAAATTTACAATAATACACACAGCGCCCTCTAGTGGATTTGTAATCTGAAACGTACAGGAAAACGTACCACAAGCAATGGATTTCAAATTCGCAAAACTGTAGACAGCACCCTCTAGTGGATTTGTAATCTGAAATGTACAACAAAATGTACCCTGAGTAATGTATTTCCAATTCGCTAAACTGTAGACGGCGAACTCTGCTGCATTTGTCCCATGATGCGTGTAACATAACAAACCCTTAGTCTGTGGCATGTATTTCCAGTGAGCCTGGGTTGGAATAAGTGATGGTTTAAATGGAGAGGATCCGAGCTGAATGGATGAACGGTTATGTAACACAGTCAAAGAAGGACGCAGTGCTGCACACCTGGCTTGAGACGGCTAGTTTACATTAACACCAGAGAGACAAACGGCCCCCATTAGTGGTGAAAGTATTGTTAGCTTGGTCTCATGCCTCGGCGCGTGTGTTTGTTTGGGTAAGGAAGTTTGTTTACGGGCTGTGAGATGGAAGTTGGCATTTGATGAGCCGCAGCTGAAGCATCATATGGATGAACAGACAGAGAGAAATAGAAGAAACTCTCAGCATTAACACAGGTGAGGATACTTGTCAAAGTAGGGTTCAGTGGTAATGTTGATGTGGCAGGTTCGTTTAGTGGTTTGAAAGGCCAATTTAGAGGGATAGTTCACCCAAAAATTAAAGTTCTGTCATGTTTATTCACCCTTTACTCTATGAGATTTGTTTTCTTGTTAAACACACGAGAAGATAATCTGAAGAAAAACCTGTAGCCATTGATTAATAGGAAAAACAGATACTATGGAAGTCAATGTTTACAACATTTTTCAAAGTATCTTCTTTTGTGTTCTTATTGTAAAGTTTTTCCTTATTATTTCTATATTTATTTACTATTGCTTTATTGATCTCTTGGTGAATGTTGGACATTCCATTTTATTAAGTGATGTACAATTTCAAACAGTGTATAGTGTAAATATTACGTTTCTGTTCCCAATTTTAATCAATTTATAGTGTTGAATGCTTTGGAATGAACTTATTATTATGGTATAAATCAAATGATATACATTGTGTAGAAATAAAAGATGCACAAGTGTATAGAGGCGAGAGGAATCATGTGAAACTGAGGTAAACGAGGTAAAGATGAAGGAGAGATGCATGATTGTGGCTTAATTCTCAGTATCGCTCGTCTCACCGTGTGTTTTGGCGTATTAGATTACATAACACTGCCTCCAGCCGGGCTGCGATCAGAGCGGGAAAACACAGAAAACTACTCGCAATCGCACACACACATACGGCTGTTATGACAGTCTGTAACTTGTCACATAGCTTTGGCTGACAGTCTGAAGCGCCAGGCAGCTTGACACACACTCATACACACATGTACACAAACACACACTCCTCTACAATGAAATCAGCCAACAGAACGGTTGCAATCCAACCAGTGTTTCCTTCATCCTGATTTTTAAAAATGCAGGAGCAGCACAGTGATTTCAGAACGTGGATCATTTTTTGGGGGCTATTATTAACCTCCTGCTCTATGAAGGTGGAGGAGTTTCTGACTGGAACCAGGCTCAAAAATGAACACTCCTGTAAGGGAAGTATTGGGAAATGTGAATGAACAGTCATTCCTTGAAGATGCAGGTGAGCAGGTGAAATCATTTTACTGAAGAAAACACCTGTTGTGACGATCATTGACAGAAAATGTTGCGCATCAGTTTTACCAGTTTCACAATCAAGGTAGATTTATCTGTAAATAGTTCGTAATGTTTCGAATAATTCCATTTAAAAGCTCATTTTGTATTAAAGTTACTAAATTAGTAGTGTAATACATTTGTGATTTTATTTAAATTGTGCCAAATATATTTTAATATAAGATTTTTTTAATATGTACTTTAAGATTTTACCTTAATTCATAAATTATATTTTATAAAAATTGTTTTGGCACCACTTTCATATTTTATTCAACTGAATATTTAATAAAATGGCAATAATAATAATAATAATAATAATAATAATAATAATAATAGTACCTAATATATCTTGACACTTTCATATTTTATTAAACTTAATATTTAAGATAATGTCAGTACTACTACTACTAGTAATAATAACAACAACAACAACAACAATGATAATAATAATAATAATAGTACCTAATATAACTTGACACTTTAATATTTTATTAAACTTGATATTTAATATAGTGGTAATAATAATAATAATAATAATATTAATAATAATGATAATAATAATATTAATAATAATGATGATGATAATAATAATAATAATAATAATAATAATAATAATAATGATAATAGTGCCTTATTTAACTTGACACTTTAATATTTTATTAAACTTGATATTTACTATATTGTTAATAATAATAATAATAATAATAATAATAATAATAATAATAATAATAATAATAATAATAATAGTACCTAATATAACTTGACACTTTCATATTTTATTAAACTTGATATTTAATATAGTGGTAATAATAATAATAATAATAATAATAATAATGATGATGATGATAATAATAATAATAATAATAATAATAATAATAATATTAATGATAATAGTACCTTATTTAACTTGACACTTTAATATTTTATTAAACTTGATATTTACTATATTGTTAATAATAATAATAATAATAAAAATAATAATAATAATAATAATAATAATAGTAGTACCTAATATAACTTGACACTTTCATATTTTATTAAACTTAATGTTTAATATAATGTCAATAATAATAATAATAATAATAAACAACAACAACAATAATAATAATAGTACCTAATATAACTTGACACTTTAATATTTTATTAAACTTGATATTTAATATAGTGTTAATAATAATAATAATAATAATAATAATAATAATAATAATAATAATAATAATAATAATAATAATACCTAATATAACTTGACACTTTAATATTTTATTAAACTTGATATTCACTATAGTGTTAATAATAATAATAATAATAATAATAATAATAATAATACCTAATATAACTTGACACTTTAATATTTTATTAAACTTGATATTCACTATAGTGTTAATAATAATAATAGTACCTAATATAACTTGACACTTTATTATTTTATTAAACTTGATATTCACTATAGTGTTAATAATAATAATAATAATAATAATAGTACCTAATATAACTTGACACTTTATTATTTTATTAAACTTGATATTCACTATAGTGTTAATAATAATAATAATAATAATAATAATAATAATAATAGTACCTAATATAACTTGACACTTTATTATTTTATTAAACTTGTTATTTAATATAATGTTAGTAATGATAATAATAAATATCGTGCAGCCATAATCCCTGCATAAAAATATTTATAGAACTTAATCTGCATCAGGCGAGAGCTGCAGAAAGCAGATGCAGGTCAGTCTGTTATCTTAGGAGGGTTTTCTGTGTCCGAGAGCTGGAAGGGTGTAAAGTTGAGCTGAAGCAGCCAAAGGGGCTTTAGTTTTTAGGCCTTTTAGTTAATCACATACAGACAGAAGAGCCCAGAGGATCGGAAAACCCCCGTCACCACTGACAACACAACAGCAACAATACTGTTACTCATGCTTTGCTTTAAGAAACTTTGCTATGTAACTCTGCGGCGTTCCAGACATGAAGGACTCCTCCAGTTCAGGAGAGGTGTGATCTTACTGTACTGGGCACATGAAGGTACTTTTGTTTTTGTTTTTTTGGATGACAATAAAACTAAATGTCTCAATAGATTTACAGTACAGCACAGACATGAATCATTTCTAGAGAACGCAAATCAAAGTCACTCAAATCCCCTTTCCTCCCTATTCTGATGCTCTGTTTGAACTGCAGAAGATCACCTTGACCATGTCTACATGCCTAAATGAGTTGCTGCCATGTGATTGGCTGATTAGATATTCGCATTAATGAGCAGTTGGACAGGTGTACCTAATAAAGTGGCCGGTTAGTGTATATGTATAAAAAAAAACTCCCCCTTCCCTCAGGGGCGCCCCCAAGGGGTGGCCAGGGGTGGCCACGGCCACCCCTCAGTAAACTCTGGCCACCCCTTTGGCCACCCCAATATAATTTTGCTGTTGACATTATTGATTTAAATGAACTTATAAATTCCCAATATTTAAATAAATAAATAAATAAAATGCAGTCACTAAATTATTGTTGGTGTTACTGACGTAGCTCTCCCCCTCTGGTTCAATGCTGGTGAAAGCAAACTGACGCATGCGCGGAGAAAACCATTCCCGCGCGTCTCACGCACTCCTGTGTGAATCCCGGTTGGTTGTTTGCATGCCCGTCGACAAAATAGGCACCGCTCATGCGCCGTGAAACCGGAGTAACAGCCTTTTGTGCAGAGGTGTCGGCACGCAGCGAGTTTTGAAAGTCGACTAAAGTTTATACAAAATGATGATGATGATGATGTTACTTTCACCAAGCATGCCTTTAAAGCAGAAAGGAGGGATAATGAGTCAGGGAGGTAAGACTTCATAACATGATTTCTCAGCCATGATCTGGTCTAAGACCACAGATAATTCTATAATACATTTTTTGTATTCTTTAGAATTGTCATAATTAATTTTCATGCAAAAGGTTTCTTAAGTGATCTTGGCATATCACTCCAGTTGTTGTTTTCCAGTAATATTTAGGATTGATTTCTGTTATTTATTTAGAATAATAATTGTATATTAATATTAATTGTATTTATTTAGAATAAATATAAATAAATTGTTATATTTATTAAATAACAAATCTAACAATTCAAGAGAGGTGGGGGTGTATAGGGTGGTTCGCCCAGGGTGTCATTTAAACTAGAACCACCACTACCCTCTCTGATCGTCGTTGACAGCACACACACACCTTCAATAGACAGCAATGGCTATTTAATATTTACCTTAAGCTACAGTATATCAATAGAAGAAGCTGCATTAAATGGCTCAAAAAGCAATATGAATAAATAATATTATTAGGTATAGTGAGTGTATATATAGTAATGCCTTTTGTTCAGCTCGTTCATCTGTTTGGGTAATTAATAAACCCATTATTCTTTCATTCATTTTCTTTTCGGCTTAGTCCCTTTATTTATCCAGGGTCACCACAGCAGAATGAACCGCCAACTTATCTAGCACATTTTTACACAGTGGATGCCCTTCCAGCTGCAACCCATCACTGGGAATAATAAACACATTGATCTTAATTAATTTTAGACATGGCATATACCGTATGATGTACAATAAAAGCACGTAAAAAAAGAAGTTATTTATACAGTATATGAAAAGTGTTTTTAAACTAAACATAGATTTTTTTTGGTTTGACCATGTACTTGCTGAATTAATTTAAGGAATAAATTGCAATATTTCAAGAAGAATTAATTAAATGAATAAAAACTACATTAGTTCATTTACCAGAAACAAAAATATAACATTACACTGAATTCATTATTTTTTGTGTGCCACCCCAAGATTTGGTGCGGCCTCTTCTGGCCACCCCTAAGAAAATTTTCTGGGGGCGCCACTGCCTTCCCTACTCTAGAACTTAATCCTTTGAACACACAC